GGGGATGACCTCTTGAATTTGGAGATTGTAAACACAGTGGAGCAAGATCCCTTACCTATTAGACAAGTTAACCCGCTAAAAATTTGTTTTGATTCGGATCCATTCAGATTTTTTTACATTTTTTTATTTTCTTAATATTCAGATCCACTCATTATTCGTATCGAATACGAATTTTCATTTCAGACATTCAAATGGGTTTAAGAAATATAAAAACTAATTTAAATGAATTAGTTGATTTTTTTTAAAAAACAGCGTCGGGTCCCCCTTCCCAATTAATTCCAGGCCCCTTAGGTCTCGTTGGTATTTTAATGGGGACGCCACATCAAAAAACAAAAAAAGTGTGGGGTCCCCCCCAAAATCCCTTACAAAACACTTAATTCGAGCAGCGGCCCGGCAAAGCAGGAAAAGGGGGGGTGAGCGTGAGCCCCCTCTCTGCATAATGTCAGACAACTTGCCCTCAACATGGGGTAGGGCCCCTTTCCCACAACCCTGGCCCAGTGGTTGTGGGGTTGTGCGGGCGGGAAGGCTTATAGGAATCTTGGTGCCGCAGCTCCCCCAGGTGAATGAGTAAAGCGTAAATGTTACCCCTACTCATTCACCAAATAAGCATTCAATAGTAAATAAACACTAAAACCACCACTCAAACCACCCAGCAAAGAAAGGGGGAGAGGAGGGTTAAGCATCCCCCGGGAAAAACAAAAGAGGGCACCATCCCCATGACAGGCTGCCTCCCGGTAGGATGGGTGCGCTGTCTGCCAAGAGGGGACGCTGTGACAGAGCAACAGGTCGCTCCGTCAGATGTGCCCCCCGTGAAGAACACTTACAGGCTACCCTTAGATCCAGGACACTCTGCACGTAGCTAAGGATCTGAATGCACTTGATGGCTGAGTTGGGGGTGCTATAAGGATCTATATCAGGGGCACCCACAATTTTTTGTCTGGAGATCTACTTCTCAAATGACGAGCTCAATGAGATCTACCAACGAAAAAACAACTGCATTCAGGGGCAGGAGGGGGCATGGCTGTGCATGGAAGTCAATGGCACCGCAGCCATGCCCCTCACCCGCAGTGTGATCGCCCACACCCGGAACACAGGCACATTAGTGCCTGCGTTCTGGTCCAGTGTGATCTGCAAAAATGCTGCAAGCACTATTTTTGCAGATCGCACTGGACCAGAATGCAGGTACTTATGTGCTTGCGTTCCGGGTGCGGGCGATCACACTGTGGGCGGGGCATGGCTGCGGTGCAATTGACTTCGATACAACCCCATGCCCCTCCCGCCCCTGAACGCAGGGAGTCAGCCGGCTTGCATTCCAGTGCGTTCTAGAGGCGCCGGCGTCCTGTCCTCCCGCGGAGCTCATGTGGCTGAATGTGGCCGACCTTGCACACGGGGAGAGGTGTCCTGCCCCTTTCCATCTGCGTTGTCTAACACATTCAGCTGGCTGCCACACGAGCACCGCGGGAGCATAGATGTAGCCAGCTCCTTTTGCGCCCGAGGCAAGAAAAAAGACATGCCCACCCAACAGATGTGTGGCATCACCCAGCGCCCAGTCTTCAAGATTTTTTATTTATTTGTTATTAGTTATTTTAATTTCATTTCATTTTTATTTTTTACTGTTGGAGGGGTTTCGGGGAAATATTAGGGGTCTAAACAGCCCACTGATATTTCCCTTTTAAAATAGAAAAAAGAAATTGAGGACACAAAGTCCTCAATCTCTTTTTCTGCAGCCTCTGTTCTAAATGAATTGAAGGCACAGAGGCTTCACATTAATTCAGAAAATATTTTACTATCACCCAGTTTCTGAATGGGGAGGAGCCTCTGTACTACTCCCCATTGAGAAACTCATAAATGAACAGGAAGTGATGTAAATTGGGGACACATAGTACTATGTGTCCCCAGTTATTTACAAACACTGGAGTGATCAGCTGATTGCTCCAGTGTTTGTCCTGCACAGAGGATCGCAAAATATCATTGATATGTACCGATCCCCCGCAGCTCGGCCACGCACACAGGGGGGTTCAGCTTCTTCTCTGGATCCCTGCTGCTCTCCTAGGCAGAGGCAGTGGGGGATCTGAGGAGAAGTAAAAGAAGTGCTGCAGCCGTGGGGACAGCAGAGGAGGGAGCGCGGTGAGGAGAGAGAGATATCTACCAGTGATCGCTACGCGATCGACTGGTAGATCGTGATCAACCTTATGGGCACCCCTGATCTATATAATCCAGCCTGTCACCCAGCTCAGCTGTTGACTAAGGTCTTAAAGACAGAAGAAAAAGAATTCCCTGCAAAAAAATCAAAAAATAGAGGGAACTAAGGTTCCCAGAAGGGAGAAATAGTCAAGATCTGAAGATTTTTGCTGTGTCCTTCAATAAACAGACGAAAAAATGAAGCGTAAAAAGAACACTGTACCTACTGTGAAACATGGAGGAGGCTGTTATGTTTTGGGGCTGCTCTGCTGCATCTGGCACAAGGTGTATTGCCCAGTGTCACACAGCTCAGTCACAAGTCGTGGGTCCTTCAAGAAGGTAATGACCAAAAGCTAAAAGCTAAGAACAAAACATTAGACTATTCTTAAGTGGCCTTCTATGAGCTCCGATTTGAATCGTGTCTGAGCGGACGTCTAGAGACGCCCGCTCAGATCTAGAGAGCTCCGGGCCGGCCGTTTTTCTACTACGGCCGGCCCGGAGGCAGTTAAACAGCTATAGAAAGAGCTGAAACGAGCAGTCTGGAGAAGGCATCATTCAAACCTTAGACACCTAGAACAGTTTGCTCAAAAAGAGTGGGTCAAACAACCTGTTCGCAGGTGCAGAAGTCTCATTGAGGGCTACATAAATCCCTTGTTTCTAGTGTTTGCCTTTAAAGGTTTTGCAACACAATATATGGTTAAGGATTTGGCATTTTTGTCTATGCAATTTTTAATTGTTTTATTGTCTAAAATATTCTGTTGAATCAAAAAGCAAAATCTGATTTAATTATGGAATAACGAATTATGATCAGCTGAAGATCTGTTACCTGTGCCTCCAAAGGCTTGCAGTTATTATTGCCTCTTAGCTGCTGTGGTTCTACAAGCATGTACTCTGCTCTTGCTGCACAGAGCTAGCAGCTATGGGTGTCACCCAACTCACTTGATGGTTAATATACTTTGCCTCTTAGTTTCTTCCTCTCCAACCCCCTGTCTCTCTCCATATTTAAATCCTGTTCAGATCAGTTTCCTTTGCCTGAGCAACACCCATGTTGCCTCTGATCTCCCACCTGTGCCTTTGCTTCTGACTTCCTTCTCCCTTGGAGTGACCTTTAGTGTACTGATTCAGCTTTCTTCTCCAGATTGCGTTTGTCTGCCACCAGCTCTGACCTTTAGCCTGTCTTCTGGATCTCCGTCTATTCCAGTGCCATCTCACCTTTGCCAGTGCTGACTGGAACACTGCCACATTCTCCTTCTGTGTGTTCAGGTACTCTACACATGTCAAGCAGGGTGAACCCAGGGGCTACGACCTGGTGTCAACACACCGCTACAGGGCCGTAGGAAGGGTGAGGCAAGTGAGGCACTCATCACAGGCACAACTTTGAGGGGGCGCAGCCAGGGCCGGACCTGGACCTGCTGGCCAGCGCGGGTAAGAGGTGGGCGGGTGGCACGCCAGCACAGCCGACACTACCATAAAGCAGCACAAGCAGCTGCCTCACATACACAGAAGCAGCACTATGGACTGGGTTCTGAGCTTCGGCTTCTGTAGTCTGAGCCCCGTCCCCAGTTTCCTCTGCTGTCTGTGCGGTCTCCGGAGCCTGCTAGAAGCCCGCACTGTGGCCGTAATTGTCACAAGCCGTGAGATTAACATATGAATGGGTGACGGGAATTTACATATGAATAAGCCGTGGCTCATTCATAAGTAAGTATCATGGCTAATTGATATGCAGATCACCGCCCCAACAGGCTCAAAGTATTCTTGACAGCATGGCACTCCATGTAATGAAGGAGCTTTGCCACTAAGGGAAAAAAAATTAAGGACATGTGATCAGCCTGCTCATTGAGAATACCTCTGTTGCATTGCTGCTCATTGAGAATACCTCGGTTATATTGCTGCTCATTGAGAATACCTACGTTATATTGCTGGTCATTAAGAATACCTCTGTTATATCGCTGGTCAGTGAGAATACCTCCGTTACATTGGTGGTCAGTGTAAATACCTCTGTTACATTGGCGATCGGTATAAATACCTCCGTAACATTTGCGGTCAGTGAGAATACCTCCATTACATCGGCGGTCAGTGAAGTAGTTAAACATCAGTTTAAGGTCACCTATTATCTGCTGTTAGTTATGCTTTCTGGAATGAGGTGCTCCATGGTAATGGACTTAGGGTGTCAATGCCTATGGCTTTGCATATAGGGCTTTAGTAGATGACGGTCATTCTTTTCCCAAAATGCTGGATATGTTCAGTGTGAGCTATAACATGGACATCTTAGTTATGCTTTCTGGAGTGGTGCATTTTGGAGGTGTCTTTGTATTAGGGTGCTCCACAGTACACTATTTGTGGTGTCATCGCTTGTGGCTTTACATACACGGCACTAGTACTAACCCTTAAATTAACCTCGAGGGGGGGGCACAATTTTCTGTCCTTGCCTCGCGCACAAAAAGAGCTAGCCATGGATCTGCACAGCTGAGTCCAATTGTTCATGAAGGGGTTCCCGGCAGAATACTGACAGTGCCTTAGACCCCAAACCCCAGGGGATCCCATGCCCCCTGATGCTTGTGGGCCCACATCCTTGTAACCATGACACAATTAGTTTGCTCAGTTTCAAGTTCAGAGAAAACTGTGGGTTCTTCTTTTTTCATCGCAGGGTACCAACAAATATATCAACATTTGTAAACAATGAACACATCTAGATTTTTGAGTGCTTATACCTGTTCTTTTATAGCTTCTGCATACTTATTGCTTAGTTTAGGGGTGCAGTGCCTATTTAGGCGTGCAGTGACTATATGGTTTTTTAATGTACTGCAAATCATCTTTACCTATTTTGGGAGGCATGGGCTTCTGCTGCTGCAGCACTCTTCTCTTCATCAGTGGTGTTCTCCTCTTTTATGACTGCAAATTTTTCAGTTGCTTTTGATCTTTCCATGATCACCATTTCAATTTCTAAACAGAGACAATAATGCTTTAACTATGCATCAGAATAGGACACATTTTATTTTATGGTTTTATTTATTTATTTTGGATACTTCAGTGGTCCTCATTTATACCAATCTTCCAAAGAATTGTCTGACATTCCTAACAGCAACCAACACCCGCACTGTATAATGACAACTTACAGCATAGTTAAACCAAATCCAAACATTTAATATAATGCAGTTTACTAGTCCTTAGATGAGGTGGCTGTATTCATTTTTTTTAGCCTTTTCCCCTTCATTTTTACCCTGTAATCCTACAGATAACACACTTCCTGTCCTAGGGTGGCTATGCTCATTCACTTTATTGTATCTATGGAAGGAGCCATGGTAGTTACCTATGCTGGACTACCTCTCCTCATCTCCATTACATGAGGGTGGGGGAAATTAGTAGAAGATAGGATGTGTGCTTTCTGGCCAGCTTACATTCTTTGTTCTGTTAACTACCATTCCCATAAACCCCCTTGTAATGGAGATGAACAAAGATAGACATATTTATAGTGCAGCACTAATTTTCCAGGCTTCAATGTAGGAGTCCACCATGGTAGTGATTTACCAAGCCTGACATTGGAGGAGTGACAGGAGATCATAAAGGTGTCGACCACGCCCATTTTTTAAGCCATGGACAAAGCATACAACATATACCAGTTAACAACATAACAAGAACCTTTGTGCTGCATCATAAAATTAATTTACTCAAATAAAGTAAAAATTCTAAACATGTCTGATGTTCCTGCCATGAAGGTCCTTGTGAAGGCCCTTTCTGTTATAGGGTTTTAACGCTCTGTCCCTGTCTTCCAATTGTTCTCCTGCTTTGTAGAAATGCTACAAGCTATGAAGCCTGATGGGGATATTGGCAGACTAGTTGGGGGACTAGTTCCTTATCAGGTATGCTCTGATGCAGATTGACAGCAGGCAGTGGGCAGATTCCATAGGCAACAGCAGCCTGCCTATTGACTATGGGACTACCTGCTGTCCTATGGGACTACCTGTTTTCAGTCACACGAGAGGTGGACCTGATGGGAAACTAGACACTCAGCTTCCCCATCAGGCTCCACCCACTCAGCCACATCTCTGGTTGCTAAGAGGCTGTCGGCTGTGCAGCTGAAGGTGCGGTTGGTGCTGCTTGCGATCTCTGAGTGTATGCTCATTTGGGAAGGGGGGGATGGCACTGATTGCTATTTCCCAGCGTATGGTCGTTACTGGGGGGGCAGGGGGTGGGGTTGGCAGACTGGGGTGCTGTCAGTGTATGGTTGTTCCGTTGGGGTAGGGGACAAACGTGTGGTGTGTTTATATACTATTTTAATGTGTATTTGGTGAACAAGTCGGGATAACAACTACCCCTTACTCCTTCACAAGGGGGGCATCTGGCTGCCTCCTTTATGAAAGGGGCACCCAGATTCAGAGAAGCACCCCCCCTAGACCCCCACAACCACCGGGCCAGGGTTGTGGGGAAGAGGCCTGTGTCCTCATCAATATGGGACAAGGTGCTTTGCCAGGGGGTCCCCTCCCCATGTTGAGGGCATGTGGCCTGGTAAGGTGCAGGGGGGAAATAGAATGATTGTCCCCCCCTTCCTGCTCTCCCAGGCCACTGCTTGGATCAAGGGTCTGGTATAGGATTTTTTTTTGGGGGGGGGGGGGGGGCCCCTGTTTTTTTTTTCTCTCAAGTTTCATGTTTTTATGTCATGGCCAGGGTTGTAGGGAAGATGCCCTTGTCCTCATCAATATGGGGACAAGTTGCTTTGCCAGGGGGTCCCCTCCCCATGTTAAGGGCATGTGGCCTGGTATGCTGCGAGGGGGACCACACAATCTAATCGTTCTACCCCTCTTTTCCTGCCAGACCACTGCTCAGATCAAGGGTCTATCTGTTTTTTTTGGCATTTGGTCCCACCTAAAATTCCTACCAGACCTAAAGGATCTGGTATGAATTTGGGGGGGACCCCCGTTTTTGTTGTTTGATTTTCTTGTTTAAAAACAACCTGAACTTTATCCAAATAGATTTGAATAGATCTGAATTTTAAAAATTTGGACCAATCCAAATTATGAATATCAAACGGATCTGAATTTCAGAAAAAAAAAATCCAAATAGAACTGTTGTGAAAACAAAAGAACATTTTCAGCCATGCACATGTCTAAGGGTCACTCAGCCAGCTGCGTGACAACGCATGGGACTGAGTGACTTCAAGGAGAGTCAGTCAATCCCATGTGTTGTCCCTTAGCTCCTAAGGACTGTAATGCAGCTGCCTGCAATTAATGCACTTACAGTTTTAAGATTTAACTTCCCAATTTAGTGCCACTTTAAGGCAGGAACAGTGATTTACTATCTATTGGAGCAGAGTCCTTAGTGCACAACAAAGTAAACAAAGCATGACCTAATTGTAAAAAGTGCAGACTGGAGGAGTTGTTACAGTTGTCATTATTTTCCCCCCTGCTGCATGCAAACTCCTGTCCTGTTATCTGATCAATGAGAATGTTTAGTGAGCCTCAAAACAAAAACAAATACTGCCAGGAGAATATTGCAAAGCATCTATTGACAGCTCTAAGTCTGTCCTGGAGAAGCTGATGACACATCTAAGATGATGGTGCCCAACTGCAGTCTCAGGCCTGTTCAATATCATAATAATATTAATAATTACAGGGATATTAAATGCACAAAACAAGATACCTTAGTGTATATAAGCCTATGAGAACATTGTTGCTGATATTAATAGTATGGGGACAGGGTCTAATTTTTTTCTTATTGTACTATTGTATTTAAATGTAAAAGTAGGTGTTTTAGCACTAGCTAGCTTACAGAAATGCTGGTCCGTCGTTCATTGTCAAGAGCTTACCAAGTGCCCAGCCATAGGCTGAGATTCTTTAAAACTCATTATAAAAATAAAAAAAAATCACGTTTCAGCTTTCACTTTATGGAAAAAGTGTTCTGATGAACTAAAGTTGTGTGTCCACATTAATCATGTTCTTCCACCATTATTTTAGAATTTAAAAATACATATTCTAACCTTCTGTATCCCCACTTCCCTTGACACCTTTAGAGGTACTCTCTGCACCTTTCCCTTTATCTAGGTCTTCTTGAATCTCTTCTGGTGGCTTCTCGTCTTCTTCCTCTTCACCAACATTTTTATAGTTGGGCCTCTTTTGGTGTTTCTTCCTCCCTCTCTGTCGGTTAATCTCCAAGGACTTCTCTAGTGTTTCCTGGGGTTTAGTGAAGCAACGAATGCTGGAGTCCGCCTATGTAAAAAAATAAACACATAAATAAATAAAAATTCACAATATAATATGAGTGTTAAATTAGCCAGGCATTTCATTTTGATAAATAATCTCTTACTGTCACATAAAATATATTTATGCAGATTAAATTCCAGATAGTATTCCATCTTGCACTCCTCTGACTTCACTGGAGTAAATCCTGATTGGCTTCTATGTATTACTGCACTAAATATAATAAGAACTTTTACTGAATAAAGCTAATTATGTCAATTATACATACCTTTGAAGGTTGTTGGTTTTTTTTTCCTACAAGAGTATACTAATATTTGTTTTACTCAATAAAAGTATGTTTGTTGGAGTAAATTTTGTACTTTTGGTTAACACCTGGGAAAACATCTTTTTTGTCCTTCCTTGAGTATATCAAAAGACACAGGAAGTAAATTCTTCCATGAATGGGTTATGCAGCTACCTACAGGTCAGTGCCAAATCAATCAATGCTCCGAGGCAGCCCTAATAACCCCCCCCCCCCC